TTATGTTGATGATGATGATGATGATGATGATGCTGATGATGATGATGATGATGATGATGATGATGATTATGATGATGATGTTGATGATGATGATGATGATGATGATGATGATGATGATGATGATGATGATGATGATGATGATGATGATGATGATGATGATGATGATGATGATGATGATGATGATGATGCTGATGATGATGATGATGATGATGATGATGATGATGATGATGATGATGATGATGATGATGATGATGATGATGATGATGATGATGATGATGATGATGATGATGATGATGATGATGATGATGATGATGATGATGATGATGATGATGATGATGATGATGATGATGATGATGATGATGATGATGATGATGATGATGATGATGATGATGATGATGATGATGATGATGATGATGATGATGATGATGATGATGATGATGATGATGATGATGATGATGATGATGATGATGATGATGATGATGATGATGATGATGATGATGATGATGATGATGATGATGATGATGATGATGATGCTGATGATGATGATGATGATGATGATGATGATGATGATGATGATGATGATGATGATGATGATGATGATGATGATGATGATGATGATGATGATGATGATGATGATGATGATGATGATGATGATGATGATGATGATGATGATGCTGATGATGATGATGATGATGATGATGATGATGATGATGATGATGATGATGATGATGATGATGATGCTGATGATGATGATGATGATGATGATGATGATGATGATGATGATGATGATGATGATGATGATGATGATGATGATGATGATGATGATGATGATGATGATGATGATGATGATGATGATGATGATGATGATGATGATGATGATGATGATGATGATGATGATGATGATGATGATGATGATGATGATGATGATGATGATGATGATGATGATGATGATGATGATGATGATGATGATGATGATGATGATGATGATGATGATGATGATGATGATGATGATGATGATGATGTGATGATGATGATGATGATGATGATGATGATGATGATGATGATGATGATGATGATGATGATGATGATGATGATGATGATGATGATGATGATGATGATGATGATGATGATGATGATGATGATGATGATGATGATGATGATGATGTGATGATGATGATGATGATGATGATGATGATGATGATGATGATGATGATGATGATGATGATGATGATGATGATGATGATGATGATGATGATGATGATGATGATGATGATGATGATGATGATGATGATGATGATGATGATGATGATGATGATGATGATGATGATGATGATGATGTGATGATGATGATGATGATGATGATGATGATGATGATGATGATGATGATGATGATGATGATGATGATGATGATGATGATGATGATGATGATGATGATGATGATGATGATGATGATGATGATGATGATGATGATGATGATGATGATGATGATGATGATGATGATGATGATGATGATGATGATGATGATGATGATGATGATGATGATGATGATGATGATGATGATGATGATGATGATGATGATGATGATGATGATGATGATGATGATGATGATGATGATGATGATGATGATGATGATGATGATGATGATGATGATGATGATGATGATGATGATGATGATGATGATGATGATGATGATGATGATGATGATGATGATGATGATGATGATGATGATGATGATGATGATGATGATGATGATGATGATGATGATGATGATGATGATGATGATGATGATGATGATGATGATGATGATGATGATGATGATGATGATGATGATGATGATGATGATGATGATGATGATGATGATGATGATGATGATGATGATGATGATGATGATGATGATGATGATGATGATGATGATGATGATGATGATGATGATGATGATGATGATGATGATGATGATGATGATGATGATGATGATGATGATGATGATGATGATGATGATGATGATGATGATGATGATGATGATGATGATGATGATGATGATGATGATGATGATGATGATGATGATGATGATGATGATGATGATGATGATGATGATGATGATGATGATGATGATGATGATGATGATGATGATGATGATGATGATGATGATGATGATGATGATGATGATGATGATGATGATGATGATGATGATGATGATGATGATGATGATGATGATGATGATGATGATGATGATGATGATGATGATGATGATGATGATGATGATGATGATGATGATGATGATGATGATGATGATGATGATGATGATGATGATGATGATGATGATGATGATGATGATGATGATGATGATGATGATGATGATGATGATGATGATGATGATGATGATGATGATGATGATGATGATGATGATGATGATGATGATGATGATGATGATGATGATGATGATGATGATGATGATGATGATGATGATGATGATGATGATGATGATGATGATGATGATGATGATGATGATGATGATGATGATGATGATGATGATGATGATGATGCTGATGATGATGATGATGATGATGATGATGATGATGATGATGATGATGATGATGATGATGATGATGATGATGATGATGATGATGATGATGATGATGATGATGATGATGATGATGATGATGATGATGATGATGATGATGATGATGATGATGATGATGATGATGATGATGATGATGATGATGATGATGATGATGATGATGATGATGATGATGATGATGATGATGATGATGATGATGATGATGATGATGATGATGATGATGATGATGATGATGATGATGATGATGATGATGATGATGATGATGATGATGATGATGATGATGATGATGATGATGATGATGATGATGATGATGATGATGATGATGATGATGATGATGATGATGATGATGATGATGATGATGATGATGATGATGATGATGATGATGATGATGATGATGATGATGATGATGATGATGATGATGATGATGATGATGATGATGATGATGATGATGATGATGATGATGATGATGATGATGATGATGATGATGATGATGATGATGATGATGATGATGATGATGATGATGATGATGATGATGATGATGATGATGATGATGATGATGATGATGATGATGATGATGATGATGATGATGATGATGATGATGATGATGATGATGATGATGATGATGATGATGATGATGATGATGATGATGATGATGATGATGATGATGATGATGATGATGATGATGATGATGATGATGATGATGATGATGATGATGATGATGATGATGATGATGATGATGATGATGATGATGATGATGATGATGATGATGATGATGATGATGATGATGATGATGATGATGATGATGATGATGATGATGATGATGATGATGATGATGATGATGATGATGATGATGATGATGATGATGATGATGATGATGATGATGATGATGATGATGATGATGATGATGATGATGATGATGATGATGATGATGATGATGATGATGATGATGATGATGATGATGATGATGATGATGATGATGATGATGATGATGATGATGATGATGATGATGATGATGATGATGATGATGATGATGATGATGATGATGATGATGATGATGATGATGATGATGATGATGATGATGATGATGATGATGATGATGATGATGATGATGATGATGATGATGATGATGATGATGATGATGATGATGATGATGATGATGATGATGATGATGATGATGATGATGATGATGATGATGATGATGATGATGATGATGATGATGATGATGATGATGATGATGATGATGATGATGATGATGATGATGATGATGATGATGATGATGATGATGATGATGATGATGATGATGATGATGATGATGATGATGATGATGATGATGATGATGATGATGATGATGATGATGATGATGATGATGATGATGATGATGATGATGATGATGATGATGATGATGATGATGATGATGATGATGATGATGATGATGATGATGATGATGATGATGATGATGATGATGATGATGATGATGATGATGATGATGATGATGATGATGATGATGATGATGATGATGATGATGATGATGATGATGATGATGATGATGATGATGATGATGATGATGATGATGATGATGATGATGATGATGATGATGATGATGATGATGATGATGATGATGATGATGATGATGATGATGATGATGATGATGATGATGATGATGATGATGATGATGATGATGATGATGATGATGATGATGATGATGATGATGATGATGATGATGATGATGATGATGATGATGATGATGATGATGATGATGATGATGATGATGATGATGATGATGATGATGATGATGATGATGATGATGATGATGATGATGATGATGATGATGATGATGATGATGATGATGATGATGATGATGATGATGATGATGATGATGATGATGATGATGATGATGATGATGATGATGATGATGATGATGATGATGATGATGATGATGATGATGATGATGATGATGATGATGATGATGATGATGATGATGATGATGATGATGATGATGATGATGATGATGATGATGATGATGATGATGATGATGATGATGATGATGATGATGATGATGATGATGATGATGATGATGATGATGATGATGATGATGATGATGATGATGATGATGATGATGATGATGATGATGATGATGATGATGATGATGATGATGATGATGATGATGATGATGATGATGATGATGATGATGATGATGATGATGATGATGATGATGATGATGATGATGATGATGATGATGATGATGATGATGATGATGATGATGATGATGATGATGATGATGATGATGATGATGATGATGATGATGATGATGATGATGATGATGATGATGATGATGATGATGATGATGATGATGATGATGATGATGATGATGATGATGATGATGATGATGATGATGATGATGATGATGATGATGATGATGATGATGATGATGATGATGATGATGATGATGATGATGATGATGATGATGATGATGATGATGATGATGATGATGATGATGATGATGATGATGATGATGATGATGATGATGATGATGATGATGATGATGATGATGATGATGATGATGATGATGATGATGATGATGATGATGATGATGATGATGATGATGATGATGATGATGATGATGATGATGATGATGATGATGATGATGATGATGATGATGATGATGATGATGATGATGATGATGATGATGATGATGATGATGATGATGATGATGATGATGATGATGATGATGATGATGATGATGATGATGATGATGATGATGATGATGATGATGATGATGATGATGATGATGATGATGATGATGATGATGATGATGATGATGATGATGATGATGATGATGATGATGATGATGATGATGATGATGATGATGATGATGATGATGATGATGATGATGATGATGATGATGATGATGATGATGATGATGATGATGATGATGATGATGATGATGATGATGATGATGATGATGATGATGATGATGATGATGATGATGTGATGATGATGATGATGATGATGATGATGATGATGATGATGATGATGATGATGATGATGATGATGATGATGATGATGATGATGATGATGATGATGATGATGATGATGATGATGATGATGATGATGATGATGATGATGATGATGATGATGATGATGATGATGATGATGATGATGATGATGATGATGATGATGATGATGATGATGATGATGATGATGATGATGATGATGATGATGATGATGATGATGATGATGATGATGATGATGATGATGATGATGATGATGATGATGATGATGATGATGATGATGATGATGATGATGATGATGATGATGATGATGATGATGATGATGATGATGATGATGATGATGATGATGATGATGATGATGATGATGATGATGATGATGATGATGATGATGATGATGATGATGATGATGATGATGATGATGATGATGATGATGATGATGATGATGATGATGATGATGATGATGATGATGATGATGATGATGATGATGATGATGATGATGATGATGATGATGATGATGATGATGATGATGATGATGATGATGATGATGATGATGATGATGATGATGATGATGATGATGATGATGATGATGATGATGATGATGATGATGATGATGATGATGATGATGATGATGATGATGATGATGATGATGATGATGATGATGATGATGATGATGATGATGATGATGATGATGATGATGATGATGATGATGATGATGATGATGCTGATGATGATGATGATGATGATGATGATGATGATGATGATGATGATGATGATGATGATGATGATGATGATGATGATGATGATGATGA